ATCGTTAATTATAATATGCAGATAGATTATCAGAATAAAAAGAATATTTATCAATAAATTCGAATATTACGTAATTAAAATATCAGGTGAAAATAATTACTACAGTTTTCCTAGAAGTATATTCCTATATATCACGTGAACATTTCTTTTTCTTCGCGACTGAAAATAACACTTTTGACATCATTAATAAATCAGTATATATATATTCAATTATCAAAGATAATGATTAATATTTAAAGATTTTGTAAAGTATTAATGTAATTTGTTAGCTCGCAGTATTGTCGATTGATTGGGTAAGTTAATAGAAAATACGTCGTCAAAAGATGCATAATTTAAATTACATTTCATGTAAAACTCTTTGTTATTATTATTATTATTTTAGTAATATCAATAGTTTGGAGATACGTTTATAAAATCAAAGACATTTTTCACTTATTTTCAATTATTTTTCATATTAGTTTCTCTTTTTCTCAAAAATAATAAGAAAAACACTCATAAAATTGTATATATATATATATATATATATATATATATAAATTATATTAAAACTATTATCTTTACTATTCTGTAGTTGTTGCACTAACATTCCTGAATGATGCTTATTAAGATGTTCATCTTAGTTTTGAAATAATTTTCAAATAATCATCGAGAATTCTCAACTTAGGCGCGTTACTTTATGGATGTAGTAAAGCTTTTACACACTACAATGAAATTCAGAATTTCAATTAATTATTTATAATAATTAAAGCGCCTTTATCATTCAACACAAACCTATTAATTATGAAAATTTTTTTACGTATATTATTTGTGGAAACACCTTACACCGCTTAATTTTTAAAAGACGTTAAAAATTTTATTGCGTAAAATTTCTTTGAAATAATTAAAAATCATTAAAAATTCAAATACAAAATATGTTTTGTAATAAATTTGTATTCGATCGTCATATATATATATATATATATATATATATATATATATATATATATATATATCAAGAGTTTAAATACACTGTTTTAAAAAAAAAAAAATGCTAATAATTCAGTTGACCTCTTGAAAATCTTAGAGCAAATAGATTACAACCTGAAAAGACTAATCAAGGCTAAGTATACAAAAGTCTTTCTCCTTGAATTACAAGGAGTTGAATGTTAACTTTTAAAGATTGAAGAAATGATGAGTTGCAATTATCTTTTATGACATCATTAAATATAATTTTAAAGTTACTTATTCATCTTTCTTGTCGAAAGTAACGGTGAATATCTTGTATTCTGTTAGAAAACAATCAAATATTGGCTTTATAGAAATCATACAATAAGGATATTTTTAAATGGCATAACTACATCATAAACAATACTTAATTAATAAATTTTTTACCTATGCATTGAACGTTTTAACGCTTAATTTATAATATTCTCGTGAATTACAGAAGAAAAAGTTTAATGTATGTTGAAATCAATATTATACCTAAAATATATTTTTAAATTATAGATAATCCTAATTAAGTGACGATTAGGGTGATGTTAATGATAAATAGTTATAAATAAATTTGATTTTATTAATATTTCTCGATCGCGCCATTTATAAAATTCATCGTTGTAATAAATATTCTGAATTATAACATACTATAATAATATTAAAATTACTTACGATTTTCAAGAAAGGATAATCTTTTTTTGTATCTAGATTTGAAAAATGGCAATTTTAAATTACTTCTAACATACCTGTGAGTGTTTATAATTTTTTGTTTTCGTAATATAAACATGTTGTTTTTTTGTCCGCCGTTGAGCAAATGGGAAAGTTGTAAGTGCCGCTTCCATGAATTTGCCAAGAAAAGGGGCAGATCCGCTAAGCGTACATTAAATTTAGTTTAAAAACTGATTGGAATAAAACTTGAAAATGAGAATTTGAGTTGTGACACGTTGTTTACGTATGTATATTGTCAAAATCTTATTCTCATGAGCGCTCAATACGTTGAAATTTGCAATTGATGTACTGACTGGTGAAATGCTTCTCGTGCTCTTCACTGTTTACGTATACCTTATTTACAAAGTTCTCAAAATATTTTTACTGGATTGCACGTTACTAAAACAAATTTTTGTTTTTTATAATCAGCACAATGACGACGACTTGTACAACTGTATTATTGATGAAGCGTTTTTGCACATTCCGTAAAAAGCACGGAGTAACTGTCGTAGAGAACATGAAACAACGAACAAATGATACTACATAATAACAATTGTAGTACATTTGAATTTGACTTTTTCTTCCATCCTCATTCATGTTCTTTTGAACAACTATCTTTGTCACGTAGATTGGAAAATTTCGATTAGCGAACTTCTAAATTCTATTTTTATGCTAATCCCACGATCAAAGAAATACAATATATTATTAAAAATAAAATAAATCTACGTCGTATATCGGCATCTGGCTATTCGCACACTCTCAATGTTCTGTAGTATGCAAATAAATTTCCAGCTCATCGATATGGCAATTTAAAGTTTCTTTGTCAATAAGATTTGCGAGTGAAAAACATATTCAAATCGCTTTATTCATAAATTCATGTTTCGCGGTATTCTACAATTCAATGGCAATTATAAAGAAACAACATTTATAAATTTCAATGCACATCAATATTGTGTTGAGCACATTTTTGTAAAAAAAAAAAAAAAAAAAAAAAAAAAAAAAAAAAAAAAAAAAAAACATCACCGTGCAAAAAGGTCCAGGACATACAATACATCTTTAGTCGTTAATCCAGTAGTAATCCGTTTAACTGGAATTATAATTAAATCTTACATTTAAATATTGCTCGACAATATGCTTCGAATATTCCTTTACGATCTTTTCGTCTCGATACGTCTACGAAGAGTATTTTGTGTCTGATGCGTTTTTGACTTTTGCTCAAAACAGCTATAATGAAATAGACGATGTCCATGATCGTATGTCCAGGTTGGAATGTAAAAATCGGTGGATAGGAATGTCCGCGCGACCAATAAACTATCGCATCTTGAAGTAATGAAGAACGTCTGTCGAAGATCGTTAAAACTTTATTAACAAAATGTAAATCGCCAAGTGCTAAGAAACCGTGAGCCACGATATAGTTCCACGTATCGGACAATAAAGCACACGCACACACGCAAAAAGGCAGCTTGACGCTTTGGCGCTTAAAAAAAACTTCCCGAACGAACCATACGGCGATCGCAATTGTTAAAAATGTCGGGTCCCCTCGTAGCGCCTCGGGTTTCATCCCGATAGAAGCCGGGGGCGCGAGAAAAATGAAAGGGCAAATAAAGTATTGGGAATCCGGCTTATCGATTCCACCGACCGGCGAAGAATTCGAAAATCGAGCCACTACAAAAGCGCGCCCTATCTCGGATCTATAGGATCCGCGAGCTGAGCGCAGCCAGCGAAGTGGTGATTGGGGGGGGGGTGAGAGGAGAAGTAAAGAAAAACGAGAAAAACACAGGGGGCTTATCTCGACAGCAGCACGTGAAATAGCAAAAGTCAGCTAATGCGCAGGTACAGAACGAACGAGACGCTCGGCTGGGCGTAAGTCGAGGCAAAAAACCAGCGGTGATAAGAGGCGGCGAATATTCTACCTCTCCGCCACTATCTTCGTCGTGGCATAATAAAATATCGCGATAGCTGACTGAAACTGAAACGCGTGATTATGATTATGTTGGTATAATAATATCATCGGGACCTATCGGTTCGATCCCAGGACAGAAGCCGATAAACGACACGAGCTCAATTCCCCTAGGCCCCATTAATTCGACAATAATCGCTCCGATAATAGGATTTTTAGGCTCTATTGGTGACACTTGGCCCGCGTTATTTGTCAACATAAGTGCGACAGTGGCAAAATTTTATACGGGTTTTACGGTCGATGCTTATCCGCGTGTTTTAATACTGGCACAGCGCAATCTTGTCGCGTAATTATCTGCGAAATTCATATATCGGCGAGATAGATAAGCGCACAAACGGCCTTTTCAATTATTTTCATTTTTCCTTCACGCTTCGATAGTCGCGCAACTACACTTTCTATTAAATCAGTGTAGTTGGCTTGCATATTGATTGCTCAAGCAATTGCTAGTATTTTACAATAAATTTCGTAAGTAATTCGGTTATTTCATGTTAAGAGAACTTCCTCCGGACTTTCCTATGGCCGAATGACTTAAATGAAATATCTGCATTATCTTGCAACATTAAAACGAGATAATTGTTATTGGCCGAAGCATATTAAACGAGGGATTAGTAAGTAGATGCTATTTAAGCCGAGGATTATAAAATTGATGGAGAAAAAGCAAATACAGGCAAAAAAATAAAAAAGAAACCTTGCTCTGATATAATTCTTATATTAATTTTTATGCATCGATGATTTTAAGTTTACGAATTTTACACGATATTATCTGCCTTTTAATGTTAAAGGCTTATTATTATTATCTGTAAAAACACTCTTGATCCAATATTGATAATCGACAACATTTTTTGTTGTTGTTGTTGTTTTTTTTGCGTTTTTGATATACATTATGCAACCGTGGTAGTTGAGCGTAAGTGCCGTGGCGATATTGGAAAATTACAATTTTAAATCGTAATATAGAGAATTAATCGAGCATCATAAATGCTTAAATAATAAAAGATAATGGAAGAATGAATTATTCCGATTTGCCAATTATTATGACGAAAATTTTTAAAATACGCAGTACTGTTAGATGTAGCAATTAATACGCGTATTATAATATCGGCATACATTACCTTTCATATTCTGCCGTATGCGCTGCTAATATAATGTAAATATCCCTAACGCACGTGGAACTTCAGCATACGTTAAATATTTATAGGCACAAATATATTTTCCGACAAATGTGCATGTTTCGTTATAATACGTATGATTAGGCTTCGCTTTGGACGCGAAGACCAAGCGACGCTTGGCCAACGTTTCGTTTTGTTATATACCCTCGGTGCAAATAGTCAATATTTTTCTTGAATGTTAAAACTTGTTTCAGGATGCGCTGGTTTCGAGCCCACACGGAAGCTCCGCGACTACTGAGCCTGAGTCCCCTGCGGACCGACGAAGATGGAAACCAGGAAGTCGCCTCACCTCGGCTCCTCGCCCTATCCAAGTTACGAGGTAAAACAATGGCCGCCTATTGCCATCTTGCTTGCGCGCATAAAACGATCCTACGTCGATTATCTTGCTTCGTAATCAAGGGATTCCGAGAGCACAATGTTAAATCGATTCGGATAATTAATATTCTACTTGTGCGAATGGGCACAGCTATACTACATGAAAAATTTCCCCTTTAGATTAATCCATTTAAACTAACACTTACAATATCGATATTATTAACAACTGACAACAGCGAAAAAAAAAAAAGTTCGATTAATAACAAATTTGATTAAAAAACTCATTTATCAAATACTAACCGATGTTAACTAATTTTATCATTGATGAACATCGTGTTTATTTGACACGTACAATGACATGTACGTAGAAAGTGTTGCATAACAAATGAAGTTTACAAAACAAGGAGGGGAATGGGGATGGGGGGGGGGGTAAATAAAACGATATACGTATTACGAAAGTGAAAGGACATTTAATAATTTTATGACATTTTCAATTACGTTTCGATCGATATTTAATGTAACAGAATTTTTCAGCTTTATAAAATCCTTGCATTATTATAATAATTCGCTCAAATTGAAAATACAAAATTCTTTCAATACAAAGTGCTTCCTATTGAATATCTTAAATATCACGCTATTATCACAATTATCCCATTCGACTTGTCAAAACCAATTTAGATTTAATAATAATGCGTCGACAGTTGTTCCATCGCATCCTTTACAATTATCGATTAGTCTTACCTGATTTTACATTCGAACCCATCCACTCCTCGACTCCTCAACATTCTACAAAAATCCAACATTAATATGACTTTGCACAACACTATGGAGCAGCAACGCGTATCTCCGATAAAAATGCCTATGACTATGTACGCTTTCACGCGCCTTAATAATTATTTTAATAATAATTGCGAGAAATTTTTTGACAGAAATTGCGTAGGCTAATTTATTCCTGAAAAACAACGACAACCAGGCTAAAGTCGAAGAAGGAAAGTAATTTTATTTCGCTCGTGCATAGAAATTCAATATCACGTTACATTATCAGGCAGAGATCTATTTACGAGCCCATTGTATATTATCCAATCAATCAACAAATATTTTACCTAAACACCTACATGGTCAATGCTTGTTATCCCTCTTGTCGTGATCATGCGAGGAACACATTCGTTGGTCGGGCCGGTGAGTTCGTTGCGTCGCGAGAACATCGTCGTCGATTCCCAAGTCCCACGCTATCCTATTACGAATCGAACGTCCTTCGGCAATTAAACATTATTCAGAATTATTTAAAAAAAAAAAATTTCGATTTAACCTCTCACACGGCGGGCACGGACAATCCTCGAAACTTCGCCTAACAAAATCAAGGTCGACTCGCCGCCGCCCTGCCACCCTCCCCCCCCCCCCCCCCCGCCCCAAGTCTCCCCCTACATCCCCCCCCCCCCTCATCGCTCGTTTCCCTCGCCAATCACTAGTCGCGTTCGCGACCCCACCCTCGCTTTTCATTATTGCCACAGCCACCAAATCTGCGGGATGGCGCGCTCGACACGCAATACCTCGGAGACGATGGACGATGAAGAGGGCTCAGCTGATGAAATCCGAGCGCGTCGCCGGATCAATAACCAATTTCCGGTGCCATGAAGCGCCGCGTGGTGCACGAGTGCAGAGCAGGTGCAAGGCGACGAGGAGTTGGTAAAGACTAGCAGTCCTGCTGATGCACTGAGTCAACGGTAGCGTGACATTTCTTCATCCGTTGCGTGAGCAAATGGGCCGAAATGAAGGAAAAACGAGTGCTGCGTTGTCGATGTGACGTGACGATTATTGTGCCTGCCTTGGATGCTTGCCTGTCACGACAATTCGAGGATATTCTCCGTCGCGCTTGCCCGAATGCGTTTCCCGCTCTCCATTTAAGTGTCACAGTGATCGGGGCACCACTTTGTTATTTCGCCGATTGTAGTGCGATGAGTCACGTTATTATAATTCGGCTCTTCTCGACGTTGCGGCTCAAAGTCCCGCCACATGACTATTAATCGGGAAAATTTCCAGTTGGCCAATTGGAATTATTGCATCTCATAGGTGCAATTATACGATTGCCATGGGCCGTTGTATGTATTAATAAGCGCTCAGCGAATAATCGAATAATGTTCCGGTTGATAATTGTTCTTTCTTTCCTCGAATGACGAATATTTAAGCTGCCTCGTTCGATTGCATCATCCCACTCATTTGTCCCGACTCTTAAAAATCTCATATTAATAAACGTCCTTCTTCGACCTCATTTACATATTAAGAAGGTATCCTACGAATATTGCGGTTCATTATTTATTTACGACACTGAATTTTCGAATTAACACTTTCTATTAAAAAAAAAACAAAACAAAAAAACAGAAGCGATTGATTAACTTTCATCGCAATTAGTAGTATTGTCGATTAAAAGATATAAAAAAAAAAAAAAATTCGATCATTGGCTACAATTTATGGGTAGACGTCTAGCTCAATTGCAAAAATTAGAAAATCTATTTTATGATTGCAATTTAACTGGTTAACATTGAGCTCAATAAGCCGACTACGGTTTTGACATTTTCGAATATCAAAGAAGCCTAATGATCGTATTCCTCAAACCTATATAATGCAAATAAACCTGACTTTAAAAAGATATAAGAGAGACTATTTCCAATTTAATGTCCCCAATGTCTAAATCTTTTCGTGGCTAGAAATTTTATTACAAGATTTTAAATTTTTAATCGATTTTTTGGATGTCAAAAAGTAAAATTACTCGGTAATTCTCTCAGACTGAATTTATAAGCAATAAAAAAAAGTCATATCACAACGTTGACTTCAATTTATTGCCAGTTTCTAATTCGCCATGGAAATCTAACTGCTAACGATCTCAATATTTCACGAATTCGCCTCTTTATTGCTTTATAAATAATATAAAGAAGCTTGTCGACCGCTCGAAAGCCCGTTTGTTTGTATTAAAACTCAATATTCTTCGTATAGATAAAGAAAGGGATAGTCGTGCGTCTCAAATTCGACAATGTTGATCTCTCAACGGCTCAAAAATTAGAATGCAATAATCAATATAATATTTAGAAAGTGTTAGTGTCGCGTCCGCTCAGTCTCCCGTAATGGCCAGCAAACATAAATAAATTCACGGCATAGGCTTAAAATCGTAAAGTAATCTTAATAATATAATCGTATAATCGTAAAGAATAAGAACAGGAAGTATCGGCTGTGTACCACCCCCCCCCTCTCTCTCTCTCCGCCTCTCACCTCCACCGCCTACTTCGAAAGCATTAGGATTGGGTGAAGCCAAAGGGTGGCACGAAAGATCGATAAGGGAGAAGGAGGTCAACGACTGCAATTGTCGGGCAATTAAAGACATATGACCTTGACAGATGGACGCACAGTTCACTGGTGGAATATTCTCCGTCCTTCGAAGCGCCTCTGTTATTCTAATTTAAAGTGGCGGCTGATATTCGTGAATTTTCGATTTTCGCATTGATGTAAGTAAGCGGTCGGCTGTATCAATTTCCAGATTTACTTATCTAACTGTATGAAACAGCAATGCTATTTACGAATGATTTTCCCTCAAGTAGCACACGTATTATCTACAACGTACGACGGACGTTCAATGTTTCAATAATTCTCGTTGAGCTTTAAAGCAAATATATTCTTTCATTATTCCACAAAATGATGCAAACACATATGCGTTTTATTAGATATTTTAAAAAATTATACATAATGGTGCCCAATGGCAATAATAATGAACTTAACCTACTTAAGCAAACTGCGAATAATCTAAAACAATGTATTCGATACAATAAATGAAGTAAATTGTACTAAAGTAATGTATTGTTCATTGACACAATTATCCTCGTACGCGCACTTTCACGAATAGAAAATCAAGCGATCCAATAATTTGAGAATTTTAATTTGAGAATTGATTTATCGAATAGCCGAGTTGTATATAGTTTCTTAAATAAACGAGACTCTTCGAAAGCATTAAATTCTATAGTTACGTTCAATGAGCACATACAACTGATAATTGCAGTATTGAAATTTAATGTGAAAAAGCAGAAAGATCTATTTAGAGTTAGCACAAAATGTACGTAATGATATAGTCGTCGGAGTAATCGTGTAAGCGGTAAGATGTATTGCGTTTTATGATCGTAGCTTAATTCATGAATATAGACGAAAATATAATAAGTTCTAATACTTTATCACGAATGCGGTATTAATAAATTACACGTAAATGGCCATGAAATTGCCAATATTCCGACATATTTAATATAAGTGAAACGGAAATTAGCGAATTAAATAGTTTTAGAAGTGATAATGATAAAGTTAATATTAAACATAAGGGAATTAATTGCTTGTTTCACTTAGTGTTCCATTAAAGCTTCGTGCCTAAAGACTGACGTAACACGCCACAAAGTGAAAATTTTGTGAATTCAAACATTAACATACGATGAATGCGTTACTATATAACCCAGTTACTCTTTGAAAATATTTGGTAGAAAAATTTTTTATTGATACTTGTTTTGCATTATCGCTTCATTATTTGCACTTATCCATAAGCACATATAAATTATATATATATATATATATATATATATATATATATATATAATTAATTTATTAATATTGTAGTATTTATTATTATTATTGTAGTAATTTATTAATATAATTTATTATTATTAATATTGATTTAAAACGTCGGTTAGAAATTGAATAGAAATATTTAATAACATTATCTTTTGTTCTAATGAATTATAGTGATTTAAAATGAAGCTAATAAATTTGAAAGAAATAATTTTACATTGTTGCAACGGTAATTTATTTAGTAATAATTTATCCGAATCGTTCGACCTCTCGTTTATTATTGTGATTAATGACAATCGATAAGAATTTGCAGAAAATAATGATTCGGATGATAATTTTAAAATAGCTGGAATAATAATGCTAAAGAGTACAATTTCATTATCGCTTATCTATGTAACAGAAAGAAAT